GAAGGAGGGGGAGGGAGAGAGTCAGCACAACTGAGGTGTTTCAATTACCTCACTGAAAATCAAAACAGACATGGAAACCTTGAGGAAGCCCTGTGGGCCATGAGTATCATGGGGTCACTAATGAGCCACACAGACTGCCATGATAGCCCCCACTTCGGATCATTATCAGTCATAACTGACTGTAAACTGAGACCTGAGGCTGGCTTTAGAATAGCTTTCTTACTGGGGTTGACTCAGATCTAGAGACTCAAAGGTAAATGTCAGAACTAGAGTCATGAGCACACAGAACTTCCCTAACTGTGAGTGTGGTTTATTAGGAGAAGTTGGGATTAACAAGCAAGCCATCCTCCAGTCACAGAAGAACTAAAATGGTTCAGAGTTTACAAGATCATAGGAAATCTAAATGTACTTTTTTCTCAGCACTGAGCAGATTTTTCTTTAGTTATATTTTTCATCTTTTTCTATTTCCCTATTTTTTTACTATTTCTTCTATTTTTATATTAAATTACATCATTTCCCCCTTCTCTTTCTTCCCTTCAGTCCCCCCACCTCTACACCCCTCCTTGCTCTCTTTCAAATCCACGGCCTCTTTTTTCATTGATTGTTGTTAGATACATACATATATATATATATATATATATATATATATATGTGTGTGTGTGTGTGTGTGTGTGTGTGTGTGTGTGTGTGTGTGTATACATATGCATTCCTAAACACAGTCTGCTCCTTTGCATAATGTTACAATTTTGTTGGACTAATGTTTGGTAAATGGCATTATGTAGCTACAAAACATACCAGAACTAAACTTCACTGTTCAATAGCAGGTGGAAGTCAATCTCTCATAAACTGTGTCATTTAATCACAATGTCACAGTGTCCAGAAGCAACTCCTCACCTACAACCTCAGCAGTGGCTGTTTTTAGACACTGATAGTGTTCAATGTTAGGCTGGGGATAATGTGATGGACATGTTCACAGACTGCTCAGTGTTTCAAAGAACCTTTAGCATGACTGTAGTCTTTCTGAAACTGTTCTTCTAGGAAAAGGAAGAGCAAATAGATATGTGCTATTTATAGGAGGAGAAAACTCTTAGAAACAACGAAATAACAATTTGTAAGGAAATTAATTTAAGCACATTAAATGGGGTAATATTGCATAGATACTGAGAGCAGCTATTAATTTAAAATTTGATTTTTGTTTTTTAATTGGATTTAAAATTTCTGATGTGGTCTGTCTGATTGGTATATAGGAAGTATTTTAGTGGTACTGAAGCTTATCAAGTAAATATTCCTTCCATAACTCTAGTCATTTGCCCAGGAATAATCAGTATGTGTCTAGTCTATATATTTTAGCATATTAAACATATTTTATGCATATCTAAGTTCTAAAATATGAGAACAAAAGTTTACTTTCTTCATTGTGGTAAAAAGAAGGTCCTGCATTTTCTGGTGGGGCATCCAGTTCCCTGTCAAGGACACCTCCTTACTGTCATTACATAAACTTCCTTGGGCAGCTGAAAATGTCTTTGGCAAATGTCTTTTTTGCTCAGAATTTGAGTTTGTTCCTCAGAAGAAAACCATAAGATGAAAAAAAAAAGTTTTATACAAAGTGTTTTGAATTTCTGGACCTGACCTACAAGTGTTCAATTGTTTTCCAAAACAATGCCTAAATGGATGAATCCTATATTATTGTACCAAGGAATAAATGTTAAGCATGTTTGTAGGACATGTTTTACTCCTGCACACTGTGTTGAGTAAAACAAGCAGAACAAGTAAATGCTCTTGTGGCAAGAGAAGAAGCTGGGACTGTATTTGAGGAGAGCATGTGTTCGGTATCTTCTCTGCATGACATTATAGGCAGCAAGAGTAGCATGGCATCTTTCTGAAGGAAGAAATAGATGGTCTATGGAAGAGCTTTCCGCCGTACACTATCTGACAAGTCATCTTTCAAGTATTAATCCCTAAAACAGGTTGATCCCTAACATGAACCACTGGGTGCACTCAGATAAACACAGGCACCCAGCATGTCTGGGGCTGTGACTTTTTACTGATGCAAGGCAATGGAGCCCAGCTATAAGGCAGAAAGTGTTCCTGTTTGGTAATAGACACACCACAGTGGCGCTGTCTTTATGACAGACACAGGTCAATCACCTTTCATTGGGTTTCATTTTATTCTTTCAGCAATCTCTGAGACAGGAATCATCATGCCAGTTGATTCATGAAGAAACAGGCACAAAGAAGTTTATCTTCTTGGCCAAAGATATGTCTCTTAAGGGCACTAGTCCAAATACTGACTAGTGCATGTCCAAGACCCACACTGCAAACCAGGGACTCCCAAGGTCTGGTCTTCGGCCACATTCTTCCAAGCCAGCTTCTCTACTATCATAAGCCTTCTCTGGGCTCTTAAAAGAAGCAAGTCACAATTCCACTGAGCTTCATTGTTTCCCAAGAACAAGATTCAACCCACTAGGCACTTAGTGTATTGCTAGGTATTAAAATACATCTCACACACTGTAAATTCGCTCTTTGTGATAGTGATAATGAGGTGTTGTGTCTGGTTTCCTTTGACATCATGGTGAGGGATTGCATTTGTGAGTGGTGGGATGGGTAACCTTGGGTTTCACACATGCTAGACAACTTGTCTACCACTGGGAACATCCTATCTCCAGCACTGCAGAGTTGTTGTTTTCTAGTGAAGACAGAGAGATGGAAATCCACTGGTAAATGGGAGTGAGTAGGAGAAAGCAACTAGAAAGTTTTTGCTTGCTCACATGTATTGCAATAAACTTTTTTAAAGTTGAATATTTTCCTTATACCCACTTGTATATGAATGGAAACAAGCAGAGTGGTATTCTTTTAGTAACAACATCCCTAGTATTGTTGTATTAAATGTTATTTTATATAATATAGAATTATTTAAGAAGCTTCAATAACTATCTTTGAACTAATGACCTGAGATCTCAATTATAAATCAGAAAGGGCACACACAGTGCAGATGGTAATCTGTCTCCAATCTCAAGTGAAATTCATTTTGAGTATTGTTTGAATATTTTGTCTGTTTAAAATATCCTAATGATCCTGCCTTTTTCATATCCAAAGCAATATCAACTACTCAGCACAGCCATTTAGACTCTTCCAAAAAATCAGAATAAGCACTTTTGTCAGACATACCTAAAGCAACTGCTTGGTCGACACATCACCCCACCAACTGCCTTCAGCAAACAAAAGATAATTTCAGATTCTGAGTGCTAACTATTCTTGGACCCATTAGTTGCAAGGTCACAGGCAAATTGGATTGTCTATTCTATCAGAGTTTCCATCACAGAGTTGAGGATATGTACTGACCTTTATTTACTAAAATGCCCCTACAGCACTCATGCTCCAGTCTTTAACTGTTAGGGTACAGCTCTTAATCTTCAACCACTAGATAATAATTCATTATTCTTCCAGATCATAAAATCATTATCTGTTAGTAAATGTGGGGTGTTAAATACCAATTGTTTCTACTTGACGATTTTTATCTCAATAAACAAAGAAAAGAATTGTCTGAATAGGATGAGACAAGAAATCTTCTCAGCAGTTGATATGACATACATCACTGGAAACACCTCGGGCTCTGCTGACCCCCGATGCAACTATATTTTAATAATGCTTTCCAAGCAGTTTGAAAATAACTTTACCACTTAATAGTGCTAAGGACAGCAGCTTGCACACCTAATAAGCATCAAGAATGAGAAACAAACAGTGAATGCAGACACTACCACACTTGCTAAATTCTGTCCACATTTGGACCTTTTCCTTTTCTTGTGGCAAAACAAGGTGAGCTTCCAAGTTGTACAGAAAACCCGGTTCACCTCCAGAGCTAAGGAGAGAGAGAACATCATGGACATGCATTTCTTTGCTCTTTTTTTCAGATGCCAGAATATGAAATAATATCCAGCAAGAAGTATTACAAAGGTATTACTGAAACTAAGTAAAAAATATAAATGAAAAAATGCTACTAGGTATACACATGCCAATAATCTCAACAGTCTAGAAGCTGAAGTAGGTTGATCACAGGTTCAAGGCCAGTCTAGACTGCATAGAGAGTTCCAGGACAACCTGGACTACATGGTAAACACATCATTTTAAAAAAGAGAGAGAGAGAGCAGCAATGCAGCTGAGTAGTTCTGGGTTCACTCCAAAACTCCTCATTGCTGAGAAGAGAAAAAGAAGTAAACAGGACTGGAGGGAGTAGGGCTGGGGAAGGGGGAAAGAACAAGAAAAGCCAACCCTATTTAATGTATGATTGGAAGGTATAAAAAAAAAAAGTAAAAATTCTCATTTGGAGACAGATTTGTGAAAGGTAATCCAATTTCATGAAGGCAAAAATGTTCCTAAACAGACTTTAGGGCCAAAACTCGGAGAACAGTTCTTCCACATCTAAAGAGAGAGAGTCTGGGGAAATTTAAACCCCTAACACTACTTTCCATAGTACCCCCAGTCTATCTTACAACGGCAAACCCTAAGTTATCCCTCGGAATACAAAGATACCTCAGTATTTGCTTCTTACCTTAAAGAGGAAGGGGCTTGTGCAATATACAGCCTGTCTTTGATGTGTGAGGACCAACTTGCCCTGAAATTATAGGACTTAAGAACATTATTCAAGACTTCTTCAAATAGAGGGAATAAGCACTTAAGACTTCAGACACTTTCTAGAAGTGTCCCTAAAATCACTCACCTTTGAAAATGTCTATTGAGTAGCTGAGAGAATGAAATGAGGTAATACATTCAAAGAGACATGATTGTTCCTTCATTCTATGGATCCTTGAGGGTTCTGGAATTGAAAACAGAGAAGGAACAAAGAAGAAATATATTTGCCTTTGATTGAATCTCTGGATTTTCTCCTCTTTACTTGAGACCAAACTGGACTGTTTTGAGTTTGAAAAAAAATCATTCTACATTTAGTTTGACAACATGTGGTTTTATATTCTTGATTTGTTTTTCACTCCATTCAGTAAAATATTCACAATTTTAGTTGGCTGCAAGCTCCGGTAAGATGTCCCAGGATGAATGAGGGAAAAGGACCGTGCACAGTTCTACTTTATAAAATGCTTCAGGGACAAATTTCTTCCTGCTAATGTAAACATGGGCTGCCCATAGAGATAATGTTGTTATTCTTGGGCATTTCTACATTTTTAAGTAAATTCACTGTATCTGGTCATTAAGCTGTCTCTTGGTGAGGATGTACCTTAGAAGATATGAGATGAGAAACTCAACTCTTTTCTTGTTTAGAGCAAAGCTGAGTTAGTTTAGCACTAATGACTCTACCTGAGTTCTTCATGACAGGATCGCCTAGTTTTCAGGGAAATGAAGATTTCCTGTTGGTATCTTAGTACAGAAGGGGGAATAAGGAACAGTATTTAAGCAACTGTGATAAATGAATCTAACCTACATAGCTACTGTCTAAAAAAAAATCACTAGTATGAAAAAATCACTAATGTTTACAAAGAAAGAAGTTATTATTTTTTCTTATGATAACAATCGAAGATAAGACTAGAGTTAGGAATGTTTTTGGTAGAAAACTTTGAGCTAACAAAGGTCATGCATAAGTGTAATAATAGTTAGTTCCTCAGTGCACCAGCTGGTCACTATGTCACGTGGACTAGACAATCTAAGCCCATCCTGTGATGCTACATATTTAGTTAGGCACAGACTTACTGCTATCGCACTAACATCAGACAACGATGGTCTCTGTGGCATGTGAGCTTCCAAAGGAGTTCACCTTCCCAAGTTGTGATCCCTTGGAAGTGAGGCATATGTTTCCAATGCCTTTACATATTTTTTAAAACAATGACCCCCTCCACACAGAAGACTGCCCTTCAGACTAGGAATACCTAGAATGTGCACCATGAGAAAAGAACTGACATTCACCCCTAAATTGAGGGTTATAATGGTGATGCTTGTTGCTCAAGTCTCCACACAAAACATGTACTGAGGGGGTGGTGACAGATGCAAGTATATCTGCTTTGATGGCATTAGGAGGCTCTTGGAACACTGAAAAACTTCCAGAGAACTAGAAGTGAGTGAAATATCTCACATTCAATAACAAATAGAGGGAAAAAAAACATGTCTGTGTTTATACTATAGAGTATTCATGTACACATACATAAATGTCATTACCACATCTTTAAGCATATATACACTATGCACACTCAACAGCAAGGCTCTAAGACAAATTTCCAGCTAGAGCCATAAGTGGAAGTGAAGTAGTTCCATTTGCAGTCATCTTCCTTGACAGAACTCAGTGATAAACTAAGACCTTAGCGCTTGTCATCTGTTTTACTACACTGGCGAGATCAACAGAGCACTGTAGAAACCCCATTTCTGGTTCAGAGAGTTTGTGGATGTACTACGGACACAAAGGCTATAGGGAGGATGCTGGTGATCGATCAGGTTGAGGGCACAATAGGGAAACTGATTGTTCTGACAAGGGCTGAACTCCTAGGTAAGGAATATTCCCAGGTGGATGGTGAGCAGACCGAGAAGTCTGAAACTCTTCCAAGACACCGAGCTTATGAACTAGAAATTTCAGGAAACAAGGTATTTGACTCAGTTATCCCATATGCAGTCAACAAAAAAGTATTTGCAAAATGAACAAGAACAAAATTTAACCTTATTTCCTAAAGTCCTGGATATCATTCCTATAGAGTTAGGGTTGCTACTGAATTAGAAAGATTTTACTTAATATAAAAATAGATTTTTTTCATACAACATATTCTGATTACAGTTTCCCCTCCACCTGCTCCTCCTAGATCCTCCCTCCCCCACTTCCCCAATGACCCTAAACCACACCTTTTTCTTCTCTCTCTCTCTCTCTTTAGACTATAAACAACCATCAAAAAAATAATAAAATAAGATAAAAATAAAAATAAACAAACCAGAATAAGACAAAAAACAAACAGGAAAAACAGAACCATAGAAAAAGCACAAGACAGAAAACCCCTAAAAACAAAATTACAAACCATAATATACAAGCAAAAGATCGGGTGCTACTCCTAATTCAAACTTTTTCTAGTCCCTTTGTTACCTATTCTGCTACTCATATAACTTGAGAAAGAACTTGAAAATGTGAAAAGGTTCAGTTTTATATCATGGGTCTGATTCAAAGTTGAAATATTTGAACACTCAGCCACCAGAATAATAGCTTTAGATTAATGCAATAATCTCTACTCTATACTCCACCAAAATTAAACTGCTAACATTCCTTGGTGGATTATGCAAGATGAGTGCTCACTGGCACAAATGCTTCATTTGTAAAACTGTAAATAGATTACCCCATACCTCTGTGTAGACATTGAGAAAATGTTATGAGCATTTAATCATTCTGATTCCCTACTCAAAGAAGAAACTGATGAATGGAGGCACAGTCTCTGTATACAGGCCTGAAGAAAAGATTTTCTTCAGTGCCTTAGGGGAAAGACTGTCAGTACATACATTAATAGTGGATGGTACTGATCAATGTATATAGAATTTTATCTGCATTTTTATTTCTCAAACAGCAAAATTATAACTTTACAGTTAGAAGCATTTCCTGGAAGAAGAAACTAAGGCACAGCAGTGTGGGTGAGTTAACTCACTCTAAACCAGTGGTTCTCAACTTTCCGAATGCTGTGACACTTTCATACAGTTCCTCATGTTGTGCTGACCCCCAGCCATAAAATTATTTCATTGCTATTTCATAACTGCAATTTTGCTACTGTTATGAATCATAATGTAAATATCTGATATGCAGGATATTTGATATGAGACCCCCCAAAAGGGGTCATGACCCACAGGTTGAGAACCACTGCTCTAAATCATATTGTCAAGTACTAAATTCTGATTTGTACCCAGACACTGAATGCTAGAACAGATTATCAATTGAAGGCAATGTTTAAAAATCTTGTGGGTCTCATAACTAGGGGTAAGGGTGCATACGTGGTAGCTTAAGATTATTTAAAGTCCACAGAAACACTCCCCAGGGGAAAAAAAATTCTCCAGGCCAAAGTGTCAATAATGGGAGATGTCATCCCCCTCTAGAATGTAACTTTTAGCATTTCTCTGAAGTTTTCTATTATGGAAATTCTGGCAAAATCATGGTGTTCATCAACACAGCATCTTGTGTCACTGATGAGTAATTCTTACTCAAATGTGACCTTATAACTCTTTCTCATTGCAATACTTATTATTGTAATCATTACAATAGTGTGCTATCTTGACCTAAAAGTCATCTTAGCTTATCTATAGGATAAAAATTCTGCTGTCATTTCCCAAAATTCTTTCTGAATTAGTCTGGCATAAGGCTTTTAGGAATTAGATAATTTTTTCAAGTTCCCCAAGCGTTTTTAATGTGCAGCCAAGTTTTAAGAAATGTGTAGAAAAAAATAGCAGATATTTTTAAAGTATGGAACACTTTCTTTTCTCCAATGAAGTAACAGTATAGTAATGGCATAAAGTTACTGACTGGCTTATAATATGGCCAGGACTGGTCTAAATTAAAGAATTAACATACTTAAAATTCCCCAACACCTCCATCAGAAAGGTGGATGCTCTTACAATTTGAGCTGTTATAATAAGTTATGAACTGGGTGGCTTATAATTCTGGAAGCTGGTAATCCACAGTGCTAGCAGATTCAATGTCTGGAGCCCCCTCTCTGGTCCACAGATGGTCCTCTTGCTATGTCCTCATATAGTAGAAATAGCAAGGGAGATCATTATGTCTTCATCACCTAATGACCTCACAAAAGAGCCACCACCAAAGCCATCACCCAGGAAGTTGGGATTTTAGCACCCACACTTTGGAGACAAGAACATCCAGACATCACCATTTTACAGACGGTGACAGGAAAACATCTGAAGATTAAAGAACTTCTCCAGTCCACACAGCTAGTGTGTGACAGAGCTGTGAATTAAATGTAGCTCGTTCTGACTGGAACCCCGTGCTGTACACCAGTAACTCTGAAACATAAGCGTGCATCGAACCATCTGGAGAACTTACGAAAACACAGACGGCTGAGCCCCACCCCTAGAGTGTCGGATTCAGTAGGCCTGCAGCAAGGAGGGCCTAAGAAGCTGCATTCCTAATAAATCCCCACTAATGCCGAAGCCACCACTGCCACCCTTGCTGCTGAGGTGGCAGCCACCTCCGACCCGAGGACCATATTTTGCAAATTGTGTCCTCAACTGGAACTGTTGCCTATATAGTGAAGCTGCTTTCTCTTACCTTGGGGAGATTCATTCTCTTGTGTCATCCTCGAATCTTGGAAAGGTTTTGTGGAATTTTCTGGATCATTTTCCTTTTAGACCGGAGGTGGTCCATGTTAGTGGGAAGAGCTTGGAGTGGAGATTGGAGACCATCTTGTCTCTTCTAGTGAGAATACTCCTGATGAGAGAAATCTACCAACAGGATAGAGGAGAGACCTAGATCAACAGGATAACAATCTAAAGTGACAGTGATGATTAAAAATAAGACTAAGAAGAGGAAAATCAGTGTATCAAGGAAAAGGAATTGAAAGAATTTTGTTTCAGCTTCTTGTTTATCTACTGGAACCAATTTATAAAGAACAGAAAGAGGCAAGAACTTGCTTTCACTCTTAACCTTTTCTTCATTTTGCCTTTACAGTAGCAGGAAAGCAAACATGCCACAGAAATAAGCAATCCATGTAAACATGAGGTGGGGAAGCAAAAGAGACAGAGTGTGAGACGTGTATAATTCTTCAGCATGTGAATGAGCACATATACCCTCACCCATTCAGACTCTGTACTAGGCTAGACGTAAGAGACACAGGAAGAGGGGGTTTGATTACTAAGGAGCTTACACATGGGGTGAAAACTAAGCGTGTAAACAAGATTAATGAAGCACTCCAGGACCGAATGGATGGTAGAGACACAGGAGCCCGCTGTAGACAGATGGTCAGGAGACACTAAAAGGAGATAGTGGGGACTGAGTTGAGTCATAAATTTGGGTAGCTGGAGAACAGTGGAGAAAGGCCTTAAGGAAGACAGAAAGGAGGGAGGAGAGACAGGGAAAGGATGCAGGCGTGAAGCACTTGGGGCTGGCTTTTCAGGGAGAGTGGCATTGCCTTAGGTTCACAGACAAGGACTTGAAGACAGCCTGTCCATGTGAGGAAAAGCCCAGGGAAGGGTAAGCATGAATTTATCTTGCGGAGCCCAGAGAATCAAAAGGCTTCCATAAGGAAAGCAATCCAATGCAATCAAGATTCTAGAGAATTCCCATTTGCCCTTCTTTCCTCAACATAGGCTGGATTCCCTCCTCACATACAAGCTGTTGTCTCCCACCCTGCACTTTGCTTCAGTGGGACAATTCCTCTCTGATGAGATGCATTCAATTCACTTCTGGGCCTCTCATAGCCATTGCTTGAATGACCGGGGCAGGGCTTGAATTTCTTTTAAGATTCAGAAGGCTTGGAGAAGTGTAAGATATTACTCCTGGCATTTGATTTTCAGTCCCTATGAACGAGGCCTATAAATTTCATTCCAAATAAGCTAGGATTTGGTAATTCATAAATAATTTACCATGGTGAGAGGGAAGAGATGGCTCAATTAATAACATGTCTGTCATGTGAACATGAGAACCTGAGTCTTTATACTCAGGAACCACATAAAAAGTCAAGCACAACATCAGTAGGACGTAAGGGGATACAAGTGGATACCTGAAGCTTGTTGGCCACCTAGTGTAGCAGCCACATCGATGAGCTCCAGTTTCAGTGAAAGACTCTGTCTCAAAAACCAAGGTAGAGAGTAGTTGAGGAAGACGCTTCATTTCAATCTGTGGCGTCTGCATGAACATGTGCACACACGTACAGGGGAAAGAGAGAGAAATTCAAAAAACCATTTATGTCTCCACAATTAAACCATAACATACAGAATACATGAAATACTGAATTCAAATCTATTTGCTTACTTTGCCACATTGGCTATAGGCCTTCCAAGAGTATAATTTTTTAGTTGTATACATAAAACTAGCAATGACAATAGAAGAAACTAAACGGGATTAAATCTATAATCTTTAAGGATACACTGAGCCACTGGGTGGTGGTGGCACACACCTATAATCTCAGCTCTCAGGAGGCAGAAGCAGGTGGATCTCCATGAGTTTGAGGCCATCCTGGTCTACAAAGCAAGTTCCAGGACAGCCATGTCAGGAACACAGAGAAACCCTGTCTCAAGAAACTTAAAAAAAAGGTGTGTATATATATATGTGTGTGTGTGTGTGTGTGTGTGTGTGTGTGTGTGTGTGTGTGTGTGTGTGTGTATATATAATATTTATTTTTAAAAAAAGAATACACTGACCCATGAACTTCATCATCTGTATTTCCTAAGTGACTTGCACAAATAATACTAATTGCTTAGTAGTTAATCAATATTGACTATGTTAATTCATACATGATAAGTCAGCTGCCTAAATGCTTATCTCTGAGATAAGCAAATATGGGAAGATTATATACAACTACAGTTACTAAATTACAGCTCCATTTCAGACAATGTTAAGCACTTTCATACTTACTCCTCATGTGAATAGGTGCTCTGACAATTTCAGAAATATGTAGCCTCAGGCCCTTCTGCTGAACATTTTGGAGGTTATGAGTGTCCACACTGACTACAACCTACAAGCTTCTTTGACTCAGGTTGAGAGCAACCCAGGTCCATGGGTGTAAATACAAATATTTAGGAGGAAGTCTGACAAAATGACCATTTAGCAAAATAACAATACCAGGTACTACCATAGGGCCTTTGACCTCACTCTACCATGGGATTTTGACTGGGATTACATTACCAGGCATGAAATTTTCTTCTTCAAAGCAAGCCTCAAATTAAAGTAGAAGGCAGGTATAACGCTGTAACAACCATGCCACTATTTCATTAGTGGGCAGATCTTGTCTGGCAGGTTGGCAGGTATTATAGTATGCAGGGCTCAGAGCTGGTTAAGACCATTTATTTCTTTTATCTCCCAGCAGCCTGCATAGCATCTCCCAGCATCATGAAAGGTGCAGCACCGGGAAGAACTTCCTACTCAGTAGGACTGTGTTATGCAGCCAAAAGTTCATGGTATCTTTAGCAATAGAATCTTACCATAATTATGGTGGGTTACCAAAAGTAATGGCAATAGCCTTGGAGAACTCTGTGGCTCCCTGACCAATAATTCATAAGGAGGTATCCCATGCCTTGCATTGCAATGTTTTTCTTTAATAGGTCACATCTTCTGGGAGTGGCTCTGCTACCCATGCAAGGTACCTCCCTTTGAGCTCATTTTTACTTTTGTTGTTATATTTTGAAATTAGCTTACCAACTAAAGGGTTTTCCGTGACATTTTCTCATCTGTCTTTAGTTTACATCAGCACATCCTCTATCCTGTACCCCCCCTCCCTCAGCCCCCAGCCCCAATCTTTATGAACCCCAGCAAGGTCCAGGGACCATCTTAGAAGAGAAAACAAAAAACACATTAGGAGCTAGCAGACAGGGATGAGTAGTGAGAAATGTCATCTTTTAGACATGGTATGGCTGTCACACTCATGAGCTCCCAGCAGCTGTGGTTGCCTGCCCAAGATCTGTACCCTATCAAACCGCCGAAATTCCCACAAAGATGAGATAGAAGACCTGCAGGCCTCACCCCTTGCCCAGAAACAAGGCCTGAGAAGCAAAACTTTCTGAGTATTTTCATCACTCTGATCTTACGAGAAGAAGCACTGAGCTGCTCTGATCGAATGGAGTCACTTAGACTTCAGGGTTCATGTGAAGTCTGTGCCCTGGTACCAGACTGTGTTGTAAGGGGTGGGGGGCACTGAAAGATACAATTTCTTTGACTGTAAAACGTCTATGTGTCCCATTAATTATCTCACAGACAGCCATAATCCAATACTGGGGAAGACAGGAGAACAGTAATCCTTATACATTAGACCTCGGTTAAAAAAAAAAGAAAAGGACAAAATAATTACAAACCAATTCTGAATGAAGTCTGTGCCAGACTCTCGGAGTCACAGCTTGCCTCAAGTTATTTGTCAGATGCGTATTGGATCTGGCTCCAGCAGATTGAAAACAAAGGGGACTAAAAGTACAGAAAGAATACACAGCTACAGGATTCGTGGGGGGAGGACAAGGGTGTTTTAAACTGCTTTTTACAATTTAGCAAATGTACTCTTGGGTAAATATCAAGAAGAAGAAAGGATTTTTCTCTTCCCTCCCTTCCCAGTGTGAGAAAGCCTCTCTCATGCCCTTCCTTAATGAAACAGAGCAGTCGATGCCTCTAACTCTTCCATCTAATCCCATTAATGCAGCCTGTGGGGATTCTGGTTGTGGGATAACGTAGGGGCAGTCCGCAGACCTCAAGTGAAACGGGTAATATTTTTCAGTCAGGCTTTTCACTGCTCCGTCAGAATGTGTGAGAACCAGCTCAAAACCAAAGCTGACGCCACTGGTGAGTTGTACTTTTTCTTCTCTCTGCTGACGTTTGGCAGTGTAAACCATTCTTGGATGAGAAAACAAGCGTTTAAAGGCTCTAAGCAAAATAAAACAATAGCTCTATGTGGGGACAACAAATTGTTTTTGATTTGGGAGTATATTTAATAAGACAATCACCCAACCTCGCTTTACACTAGAGAAGATGTCTATACATAAATATTGTCATATCCTGAGGTGAATTACTACAAACGTTTGTTTTGACCCTAAACTGAATTTTTTTCATGTGCCATATCATGTTGATGTTAGGTTGACAACATAAACATCATTGGAGTGATTTTTTTTTTTTTTAGCTTTAATCTTACCTTTTAACATTGCTACAGTTGTTACTGTAGTTACTTGGTTTTTTAAAAATGTTTTAAATGTTGATGTAGTTTGTATACTATGTAGAAATGTATCATGTATAAGAAATCTTTTCAAAAAATTGTTTGGTCAAAAGGTTATTAACAATGTGATGAATTATGAGGTTTGAGGATTTGTTTTTTACTTCTAATTTTTTTAGTAAATTAGGACATGTTTCTCTAAGCATGTGTTATCTCATGAGTGGATAGGTCTGAGTGTCTGTTTTGAAAACATTTCAAGGTAAAAATTACTTTTTGCATTTTTATTAGTACTAAATAGCCACAAACAGCAGTTGCAAATATCATAATATAAAAGATACAAGTTGTTCAAATAATAAAAAGAAACTTCACAATTTTTTCTAAACACTTACTAATCAAACTAAATCTCCACATATCCCAAAGGCAGAACTTCATCTTTCATAATGCACAAGGTCCCCTTAAAAGAAAACAGGCATTATTTCTATGCTATGACTCACCACATTCAAAACCTGTGTTTTAAAGATTGGATTGGTGGAAGAAGTCCTGACCAACAGATTTCAGCTCTGACATCAATGGAGTCTTTAAACAACTATTTATCCTTACTACTGACAGATTAATTGAGGATAATGTTGCTATTGTTGTTTAGAAATTAATAACAGTGGACATATTAACGTCTATGTGCTTAATCTTCTTTAGTTCTGAATCGCAATTAACAGAGACTCTCAGGTGAACATATATGCTTCTTTCTCTCTAATTATGTAAGTTAAAAACATATAGATACTGTTTGTTGTGAAATTACACAATACATGATGTTTAATTTTAGAGATTCCTGCCTATGCAGACACATGTGCGTGTGCGCGCGAGCACACACACACACACACACACACACACACACACACACACACACACACACTTCATTTAATAAAACATGTAAATTAACATGCTTTTACATTTTGAAAAGAAAACAAGGTTTTGTTTTTCTTTTTTCTTTTACATTTTTGTGGACCTACAAGGTATAATCTAAATTAAAGGTGAAACCTTAAGGTCAATATTTCTCTAGACTACTTGGTGTCATGCTTAGCAATTTTTAGATTTCACCAATTTTTTTTCTGCATAATATTTTCCCCAAAGACAGATATACCCCTTCTATAAAGGCAATTTAAATCTCTGAACAAATGGAAAAATAAAAAGCCAAACATCTTCCTACCAATGCAATCTACACTTTAACGTACAAATGCCTTGGTACAAATGAACAGTATAAGAAACACAAGCAGCGGGGGAGGGGGCGGCACCATATTCTCCCTGTTTAGATGTTATTTGTAGACTGTCAAACATGGCTAGAAATGCCCCCGCCCATAGGAAAAAAGGAGGAACAGTTCAAAGGGAGGAAATCCGTTAAAGCGGAATTTGAAAATCACATCCATTCTTACTACTTTTTGTGACAATAATGCAGAGTGATGTTACTGCAGGGGACAGGAAGGTATGGTCTCATCTTGTTCAGGCACCAGCCAGCTTACATAAACATGGAGCAAAGCTGTTGAGGATTATGTGAGCATGCTGGATCTGATGAGCTCAAAAATAAGATAGCTCGGTCCTATCATATTTAGGATTATGCTGGTAATCGCCTTAGAGAAAGTGTGCAGTATCAGCAGAACAGCCCCTTCCGCCTTTGAAGGGGATAGCATTGACTCCAACTGTGTGGGGCAACAGGCCTTTGTGACATTTAGCATGGAATAAAACTGTAAGACGCAACTTCTGGAGTCACATCTTATGTGATTGTTTGACCCCTGAAATAGTTTCTGGTGCTGTGTGCACATAAGAAAACTTCCCAGTGGTTTCTCTCTCCCTTTGTTAAAGGCCACTTGTTGAACAGTGGACTAAATCCAAATATGCTGACCTCCAGCCTCGGCACTACTCTTGTCGCTAGAGATGACAAGAATCAGGGTTCACTCTAATTCTCTGACTTCCCTCCATTCGGAGTCAGTGTTAAGAAGTTAGTGTCTGTTCTGCAACTTTGCTACAACATAGATATCATGATGACATGATTCTCAATTGAAGATTTTGTGATTATTTAGCCAGTGTAATATTATTCATGTTGGAAATGATCAAAGCTCTTGTAGATGATCCAAAATATAAAATCTTAAAATATGACGTTTTGTGTGAAGATCATTGGTATTAAGTTCTTTCCCTCTCCCTCTCTTTTCAGCCTCTCTCCTCCAATCTCCCTCTCCCTATATTTAATTAATGATCAAAAATGCAAATTCCATGGCTTCATTTTTATATTAGTCAAGCATGCCATGTATCAATTTTTTGAAGTATTCTGTCCCTCTTTTAGTTTTTGTGTTTGTTGTCTTACTAATTTTTTTTAAGTCTTGCTGTATAGACCTGGTTGGCCTTGAACTCATGATCTTTCTACCTCCACCTTCTGAGTGCTGATATTAGAGGGGTATAGGATGTGCCTGGCTCTCAAATATTCCTGAAAACCACATAATGTAGGGGCTACATCCTAAAATACAGCAAATAGTAAAATACAAGGTTGAGTCACATGAAATTCCCAACATCAAACTGATTTTTTGCACAGAAAAGTAGCGATTTTGTGTAAGTCAACTTAATGTATGCTAATTAATACAGATAAAGGAATGCATGTTGAAAATTCTAGAAACATCTTACTACTAATTGCTTTGTATTTAACCCCATTAAAAGGGCCCCCCCTCAATAAGTTTACACAACCTGGACATTCATTCTTATAGTTGGTGTTTCCTCTTTCAGTCTCTGTCCACCAGCTTGTTTCCCCTTTCCCTATACATCTCTTTCTTAAAATTCTTCTTGGTTTCCAAGGTCTGGCTCAAAGCCGGCTCAGCACTCAGGCTCCTCAGCTTCTCCATGCTAAAGTCCCCATTTTTCCTCTCCCAGGTTCACTTTTCAATCATCTGTCTGTTCTTTGCTCAGGTTTTTAGGCATATGTGGCTGTGCAATATGTGGTTTTAAAGATGGCATGTATCTGTGGTCCAACAGATTGAGGCCCAAACAAATCTCAAATTGCTAAATTATGTATGTGCGTGTTTGTGTGTGTGGTGTGTACATGTGTACATTTTTGTGTGTATGCACACTCCAGGCTAAGCTTGTGTCAGCTACTGATTTCATTTATTATTTATTTGTTATTTATTTATTTATTTGTTTGTTTGTTTGTTTGTTTATTACTTATGCTGTACAGTTTTGAGTTTCCCAAATGTGTAGCTAGAAGCACGCTGGCTTCTTTTACTTAACATTATGCACTGGCGTCTTCCATGTTGATGTTGCTCGTGGCATGGAAGCTCTTTCACAGTGCCAAATGACATTCTGTAGCTGCAGTTTTTCTGTGTCCTGCCTGACCTGCAGTAGGGACAAATCTCTCTCACATGCCATTCCCAAAGCTGCTGGGACCCAAGTAAACACACAGGGGCTTATATTAATTAAAACTGCTCAGCCATTAGCTCAGGCTTCCTACTGACTAGCTCTTACACTTAAACTCAGCCCATTTCTGTTCATCTATATGTCGCCACGTGTTCCATGGCTTTACCTGTTTCTCATTACATGCTGCTCCCTGGACGGCGGACTGGTGTCTCCTGACTCTGCCCTTTCTCCTCCTAGAATTTTCCTTGTCTGTTTGTCCTGCCTATACTTCCTGTCTGGCTACTGGCCAATTAGTGTTTTATTTATCAATCAATCAGAGCAACACATTAACAGCATATAGAGCGATATCCACAGCAATATTCCACTTATCCATTCAGCTATTGAAATGTATCTTGTTTCCCATTTGGAGAAAATATGAATAAACATTTATGTACATGTTCTGTGTGGACATGAGTGACTCAGATACCAAATACCGAGGAGCACAACTGCTGCTAAGGCTCACTATGACTCTACAAATTTGCTGCATTGCCTTCCAAAGTGGCTTTGCCATCATCTTGCCTTCCCAGCAACAAATGAGTGCTCATTTTGCTCAGCCTCTTTTCCAGCATTTGGTGTAGCTCTCCGTTTTTAGAGTACAGCCTTCCTAGTAGGTGGTTTGCAGTTCAGTAACACGTGAAACACTTGGCATCTTCTAATGTACTTGTTGTCTTTTAGGAAGCAGATCTTCAGATCTTTGGCCCATTAGCTTTTAATTTTAGGAATTATTTGTATGTTGTAAGCATATGTTTATTATTTGACATGTGTTTTGCAATATTTCCTCCAATCCTGTAACTTTTATGTCTTCATGCTCTCAATGCACTTTGGTTTTTAACACAAAAAAATCAGGGGTTTTTCTATTGTCTAAAGAGGTGTTTTTCCTCTTTATTAATTAATCTACAGGGAACAGACTCTGCCCGGTCCATTTTGGTCATCTATGAACCCAATTTCTAATTCTTCGCATTCCCCCTTCCTCTTCCTTGAAGGAGGTGCTACATAAACATGAGCTTCTACTTCAAGGGTTCAACTAAGTGGAGATTAGGAAGAGAAGCCAGAACATGAGAAGCTGAAGAGACAACAGTTTCACCTGCCACAGAAAGGACAGTTTCTGGTGTCAGTCAACACGCACCATTTGCTTTTTGATTCCTTTGATTCCTGGGGCTCACTGATGAGGCGAAGCTGTCTAGCTGACAAGTCTCAGCAATCTCTC